CTGTTAAACTAGTTGTCAAAAATGCCATTCGGACTGGCCACAGGAGTGCAACTGCAGAGTTGAAATTTGACATTTTGAAAGTGTCAGTTTTGTTTATGAACTTAAACTGAACTTTTTTTAACATTTTAACTTTTTTGAAAGTTACTGCAATTTCAAGTGATTTTCCATTATTTTTTTCACTTTTTTTGCCATGAGTAATAAATATTTCTACGTGTTTTTGAAAAATTTATCTCTCTCGCAATTTTCATTCCAAAAGCTCACACTTGGCATGATGTCAAACTAAATAAAAAATGAATAAAAACATAAAAATGAAATAGAAATTAGGTGTTGTTAAAATAAATAAAAAAAAATTAAATCGAAATTTCTTACAAATTTAAAAGCCTCTGGGAAATAAAAACAGTGTATTAAATATTTAATTATCATTATCAGATTTTTAACAAGTAAAATTACTTCCCATTCTTTAATTCTTATAGTTTATATATTTAATATTCCTAAGGGCATAAATATTTCTTTCAAGTGTAGTTGTTTTCCTATCAAATTCAAGTAATTTATAATTTTGTTGCGATTAACATATTAAAAAAATAGTCTAAAATGAAATTATAACAGACATAAATTTAAAAAAACAAAATGAACTTTTTAAAAAAATACAGACTCGTCTTTTAAAAAAAGCTTAAATGTGAATAAAACGTTAGTTATGGAATTAGTGTTTGCAGTGACAAGAGGGCGGAGCTATCAAGTTAGTTAAAAATTTGACAGGAAAAATAGTTTACTTGATCAGATTTTTTACATTAACAGTTTTAAAATTTAAAAATTAATAATACTTTCTGAAATCGAATTTTAAAAATTCTAGTTAAAATAAAAAGCTTTTAACGTTCAATTTCAATATGTTTTAAAGTTTGCTTATTTTATTATAATAAAATAAAATTTTCAATCCAGAAATTCGTCTGTATTTTTAGGAATCTTGAAAAAAAATATATGGGAATTTGATGACAATACAAAATTTGAAGAACTTTGAGAATTATGGATCAATATAAAAGCAAAATATAGTTATCTCTATACATGAAGAGAACAAAAAAATTTTTCGGAAATTTTTCAATGTGCCTCGAAAGTATCTTTTTATAAGGATACTTCACATTGTAATAAAATATTAGTTTATTACAATGTGAAAATCGACTACTAGATCCTCTTGTGCCCCAACTAATTGGTCTATAATTTCGTTGCTTGTTCTTGGTTTAGGTTTGTTGTAATAATCGATTTGGGGTTCAGTTTGAAAGTTGCAGGTTAATATAAAAGCAAAATATTAGTCTTTATGTATAGAAAGAGAACACTAGCCTTCTCCAGAATATTTTTTTTGTGTCAAGAAGCTTACCTTAGATAACCATGATGTAAAAAAAATAAATTTTGAATTCTTTAATGAAAAGAAAAAATAACTAGCTAACTATTAGCTTTTTTATTTCCAGATAATATGACAGAACATTTCAGAATCGAACTAGCTTTTCTCAGATTAGAAGTTTATTGCTTCATTGCTGTCCTCCTCAAAAGTGGGCCCTTATGTCTATGCATAGAACACAAAATAAGAAGAAGTATCAATATTACAATTATTCCCCTTGTGTCCCAAAAAATTCGCCAACAAATTTGCGTCTTGTCATCAGGTTTAATTATAAGAAATAATGAATAGGTCTAAGTTTTAAATTTATAGGTTAATATGAAAGTAAAATATAAGCCTTTATGTGCATGCAAAGAAAAAAAATTGACATTACAATTCAGCCCCTTTATGCCTCTTATAATTCTTCTATAATTTTGAGGCTTAACCTCGTGCTAATAATTTTACTAAAAGACCCAACTAGTTTACATGTCTTAAAAAATATGGGGAGTCACATTGGTCTTACGAATGTTCACATGTAATTTTGGAAAACACTTGCTCATTTTTTTCTAATTGAGTTGAAAAACTGACTGCCTTTGTTTCGAATTTATTGCAAACTTTTCTCAATTTTCTTGTTAGTTGAAAATTATAATTGTTTGTAATTCGATTTTTTTTCTTTTACTTTTATACTAGTAGCTCACTTCAAAAGAGCTGTATACTTAATTTTTGTAGAAGCAGTAAACTAAATTTTCCTCATTGTTAAATTCAAAAAATCTTATTTGTTAAACGTGATTAAAATTCAGAAAAAATCAGATCTTATAACTTTAACGTTGAAAACAAGGTGTAACTTTCAGGTGGATTTTATAACATTTTTAAAATCGCTTAAGACGCTAGTTCTTGAAAATAGTTTTGAAACTTTAAATTTCGATTTTCCAAAACATTTTTTTCTTACTCTCAAATTCGTTTCTATTCATTCAAATTCATGATCTATTTGGTCAATGATTCTTATAGAGTGCTCTGTATTCTAATACTCATAGACGTGGAAACAATTGGGAAAAATTCTAAAACTTATCAAACAAAAAGCTTTTAATTTATATGCAAATAATTGCCATTGTTTGTCATTTTAGGATGGTAAACTTGTGGAAGAGACACATTAATCTGAATATTGTCCCAATAAATTATTATTTTTTTAAACGAAATATGTGTTGAATGTAAATAAATCTATAAATAGATGATTTAACAATTTATTCTTCTTAAATATGAAAAAACAAAATTAAATGAATAAATAAATATCCATAGGCTAAATAAAGTAAAAATGTATCTGTTAAGCGTAAAAATATGGAATGTTACATTCCAGATTAAGAATATTATAAGACTTGTTAAGTAATATCTCTTTGATGCTGAGTAACCCTAAAACTTTTGTGAAGAAAAAGTTTTTCTCAAGTCAAAACAAGCTCGAGATCTCATATACAATTCAAAGGATGTATGAAAGCTCAAAAATACGAAAGTCGAAAAAGTTTACACCAAGATAACTCTTCTTTACACCATGCGTTAAATATTTTTGCTTCCGAAAACTCCAATGTCAGAGCATTTTGATTTCATCTATAATTGGTTACAATCGATTAAAAGTTGAGGAGTGTCTGCGGCTGACTTCAATGCTGCTTTTCATCTGCAGAAATTAAAATTCCTTTTATGTTTTTAGTTGTGTAATAAGGGTCTTTATAGTTTAGTTTTCAAGTGTCTGTAAACTTTATCAATTAATTTTGAAGCGTATAAGTTCTACCACTCCTGCTCTGCAAAGCCTAGTTCGAATTCGTCTTAACTTCGTCTCTGCATTACGTATGTCTGATTTACAAACTCAATTTATTTTAAAAATGAGTGCAAGTATGCAACCTAATTATATTATTACGACATTATATTGTCCCATAAAAATAGTTTAACCGTTTCTTATGTATATCATATCCTACTGTAATTTTAAATTTTAATGTTACTACATAACAACCATGGTGGTATGGAGTGGCTACTTAAGTGTAAAAGAAGATTGTAGGTTTTGGTGAAGTGGAGCACTTTGGAACACCACTTTCACTTAAAGTAGTTTCTACAATTTATGGTATTCAGATACAGGATAATTTTCAAAAGTGAACAGATTTAGAGAAAATGTGAAAACCAGTTTTTGGGTATTCTTTCTAACATAAATAGCTCTTGTAAATTTTTTAACTTAGATGAATTTTTCTTATTTAACTATTAGAAATATAAAAGGGGGCCGGGATAGCCTGGTGGGCAGGGCGCTGAACTCAGGCTCATGAGAATAGGAGTTCGAATCTAATTGGCCGAAGATTCCCCATGTAGTAAATAGTGACTCACGCACGTTAAATATGTCTGTTCATAAAGTCCTCCATGTTCTCATAACAAATTATACCTCTGGGTGCACTGAATTGGAGATTGATCGTTTTCTGGTTCAGTTTAAAATTACGATCTGTGAATTAAGGAATGAATGTAGGAATGGTCAGCCCTATAAGCGGGTGTGACGTATGGATTCGGCAGAAGTCGAATTCTTGGCCATAGAAGGCGCCAATGGAAGACAAGAACAATCGCACCCTTGCCTTAAAGGACTACGACAACAACAACAACAGATAAAAGACCATCATTCGAAAAAAAAAATCTACAAAACTTTCATACAAAATTTGAAGAAAAACTCTATTGAGTACTTTTTAAAGATCTATGAGAAATATATATCTATAATAATTAATCTGCAAGATATCCATGTAACTCACAATAGATATTAAATAAAAAATGAGAAATAAATAAAATAAAATTTAAATATTTTTTTGTTTGTAGGCAAATGTAACTTATAAGTGAATTAGGTATTAAAATAAAATTACATTTAAATTTTGTGCAGAGTTTTTTGCAATAAATGCGCTATTAGCTTATAAACTTTTTAATCCCATTTTATGGTTAGTTGTAATTGGATAAAATAAATATTTCTTTCTACTATTGGTAAATATTATTTAGAAGAAGTTTGAAGGATTGGTATTTTAATTTCTGAAAAATCATACCAGCCAAATTTTAAAAAAAAATGTTTAAAGAAAAATCTGTTTTAAAGTTTCTCTCCCTTCTGGTTAAAACTTTGAAAAGAAAACTTTGTGAAAAAATATTTCAGGGAGTGATTTTTTTTTAAAAAAAAAAGGAAAGTTTGAAATTTAAAAAGCCATGTAATTTTTTAACAAGGTGAACTAGACATTTATAAATTATGTTAACAGTATTTAATTTCTTATTATACTTTACTAAATTTGAAGCCCTTGTTTGAATAGGTGTTTAACTCCTTTCATTAAAAATTTGAAATAAGCTTCATTATTCCATCCATATAAGCCATTTTTAACTTATTTTAAAACTAGTACAGTTCCAGCTTATATCTGCTTTAAAATTAAATCTTGAAACCAGAAAAAAAATAGGAAAAACAATATTCTCTATAATACATATATATATATATTATTTCTCCGACTATAACTGATGTAATTTAAAGTTCTGTTTTCAAATATTCTCACCATTCCAGAAAAGCTTGCACTTTATTTTATATCTGTTACTGTATTAATTATTAATAACTGTAAAACGTGTGCTTTTCTTTTATTACCATTAGGTTGCATAGCTGAAATACTTGATGATTTGTGAAATGCATGTGTGTTATGCTCAATGCCAAGTTTGGTAAAAGAATGAATATTCTCGTCGTAAATATACGTGGCATCAAAGTTTTTCATCCACCTTTAGAAAAACTATATTACTGCCAAATGTGATTTCAATAAAAAAAAATAATTTGTTGCTCTGGTACAGTGATTACATTAAATAATATTACATATATTTATCACTTGTTGATTAATGGACGAAATATATGATTTGATGCTTTTTTATTTAATTTGTGTTGATGTTGAAGCTTGCATTTTAATTAATGATTGTTCTTCATAAATTGTATTTGTGTTTCTTACTTATAATTTGAAAGAGTAAATAAAATGTGATATTATCCTTAGATATAATGTCTATTTATCATTATTATCATTATTATATGGATTTTTTATTTAATAACTAGATCGAACAATACTATTCCATTATGGTAAATAAAACATTAAGGAATAGGCATTCATTAAGCAATACTAGTATGCGTTAAACAGGGAATTAGGGAATTTGGCAATGATTGGGAGTTGGCAATTTGTAGTTCTAGGTTTGGATTGACATTTTTTTCTAAATACCACGAATAAATAAATATAATTATGAGAGAATTGAACGTATTGAATGACGTGTTTCAGATTGCATATATTTGACGTTACGATGATATGACCATTTCGTAATTGCGCATATCACAAAAATGAGGAGAATGTATTGAGGTGGATATTCGACGTTGCTGTATTTATTTGCGCAGATGGTAGAAGAGTAAATTTTTTTGCAGGAATTAAATTATTGAATGCTGGTTTGAGGATTGAATATTGTGTGACTTTGTTTTAGGAAATGAATGTTATGATAGACACTGTTTTGAATATAATATTTGAGAAGTTGTGCGTTTAGAAGTTGTTGTTGTTGTTGTTTCTTATCCTCTAATTGTCTGACGAAGTCAGACAAGATCCAGTAGGTTGTTGACCCTCAAAAAGTCGATGACAAGAAGTGGAGAAGCATATAAGTCCTCCTTGGAAAGGCCCAAGCAGTCGAGAATATGTTTGGCTGAGGCCTGCTGGGCTTCACATTTGGAGCAGACTGCATAAGTCTTTCTTCCTTTAAAGAACGAGAGACTATTCGTGTGTCCACTTGCCAATCTGGAAATAGCTGTTTGAGATGGTCTATCACCTATATGAATAAGTGAAGAGCCCGGTTCCTTGGCCGCATACCAATGATGAGAGGGGAGGATCCTCCACTTTTTTGATAGATGGCTTTTGATTTTGGACTGATACTCTGAAAAGGTAAGGGCTGAGGACGAAGATGTTAAATGACTACAGCCCTCCTTGGCAAAAAGCGATCCGCTTGCTCATTTCCAAAGATGTCAACGTGGGATGGTATCGATTGAAGATGAACGTCGTGGTGCTTTGAAATGAGTTGAAGTTTGAGAAAGATGGAGATGCTGCGTTTAGAAGTAAATTTGTTGTGCGTGAAAAGAGTTAATATGATTATGAGATCAATTTTTTTATTGCTAAAACGATGATTAGACGTAGGTATCATTTCAAGACATTTTGAAGAAAAGAATAGGATACACGTTTTAAAGTTAAGAGGGTAACTTGTTAAGTTTTTATTATTATTTCTTTCTTATATGCTCATGCTAGAATCATTAAATATTAGTCTTATTTCTCATATTTTGAGTTATTTTTTATTTTTGCTTTTTTGTACTACTGTCTGGTATTCATTTGCCCGGTATTATATCCTACACTGTTTTAAGTTAAGTGCCTCTGTCCGACTGAAATTTGCCAGGTATGTTATGGAATTTCCAGTTTACGATCTTCTGTGTTCTTATTTGCACAAATTCTTGGCAACAATCATAAAAATGTCATTTCAGAGTTGGCAACAATATGGAGTTAAGCGTCAACGCGACATATCAACGGTGGTGACATTTCTCAAAACCACGCCCAGCGTGTAACGTATATTAGGATTTTACCAAATATTATTTTATCTTCTATTGATTTTCTTAAAGTCGGAGAACAAATTCGGATAATTATTATAAATTTATAATGAAAATATTCAATAAATAAATCTCTTGTTTTATTTACAATAGTTTTTATCCCTCATCAGGATTATATTAAATATTTCGATTTAGTTAATTTTCTTTATTTGAAAGGCTTATTAAATGTAATTAATATATTTTTCAAAAACTAAATTTGTTGTTGCAATAAAACAAATACAAATATTTCAAATATTTGGTTTAGTTTAGCTTCAATCCGTATGCGAGGGTTCCTTAAAATTTTATTTGAGGTGTACGCAATTTGCAATTTAAATGTACGTTTTCAGAAATTATGCTGAATGTGAAGTCAAAATACAATTGTATAAAGAATCAGTTATTAATGTATTAGGAACTGAAGTGAATGGTACTGAGAAGCAGATAAAAAAAATGAAATTTCTTAAAGAAGCTTCCTAGTTTGGTCTTATTTAACTAAACAACTTTGATTTATTGTACCAAGTCCTCAACTTGTAATTTCAGAATCTTTGTAAAAAGAGAATCCTACAATAGTGCTTTTTTTTGGAGTGGAAGAGGTTTTAAAGTGCATTTTTGTACATGTGGCCGTAAAATAATTTTTTTAGAAAAGGTTATATACATTTTACTGGATGATATGCACTTTTTTTTAAATAGTCCTTCTCAATTTAGTTTTAATAAGCTGATCTGTAACTGGTATTCATCAAAACTCCGCTATTTCCACCCAAGTCTGTAGGTTTTCTATCCGTATTACAGCTGTTAAAAATCTTAACTGTATTTCTTCCTAGTTTTAAATCGAATAAAAAGACAAAAAACTTCAAGGGTGATTGTTAATGAACACAAATTCGTTTTACATGGAAAAACTATAAGATTTGGCATTTGGAACTCGTAGTGTCAACACTTTGACCTACATGATAGCTATAAATTAATTTTTAGTCATAACAGAGGAAAGAAACTGAGCCTCATGTATCAAGAGATTCCCCGACCATTGCAAATCCTTTTTACTCTTCATACCTTGCAAAAGAACTGATTTATAGTTTCATCATCGATCATTTCATATTTCTACTTTACCTAAACAGTTAATTTCGATATACATATAATAGTGATCTGAATAAAATATGAAGAAACAAAATTTCTTAAATTTTATTAGAAGTTCACCCCTTAGTCGAAATGTAAAACTTTTAAGTACTGTTAGAAGTTTTAATATTTAATTCATTTTACAACTTTAAAATAGAGAACATATAAATGTGTAATTAAATAAGATACTGATTTCCCAATCCTTAACGTCCAGCAGTGGGCTGATCATAAAGACGTGGTTTCAGGCAGAACACCGAAGTCAAGCATCACTGGCTGCGATCAGTAAGCGGGTGGGTGACCACTTTGATCAGCCTGCGAAGGGACCAAGGGTGCAAGTTATCGATCCTCGCTAAACAGTTCTAAACTAAAGTGCACGAATTCTTGCGCAAGTCGTTGGGATTTCAAAGCAGGGGAGCCAACCCTTCTGCAGAGGATCAAAATCGCGATGACTTGTTTTCGGATCATCCTCAGGGATGTTTATCAGACCGTCGCCAATAGTCCATTGTGAAACTCTAATGCAAAGTAAATAAAGTACCTACCTACCCAATCCTTAACTGAAAATGTCACAGGTTCGACTTTTGAAATCAGGAATGGCTTCATAGATCACCAGCAAGTAATATACAGATCGTTTAATTTAAACGTCTCACCAACATATCTACCTAATTAGAGCTTGCAACTTGAGAAGTAGTGAAGTTATTATGCCTATTCATTTGATTTAAATTAGATTTAATTGGAGACTTGTAAGCGCTTCACTCTTGTATGTTGAACCCTATTGATTTCTAAATCGACAAATGCCACAATTTAACCACGATGACGTCACTTGCAGGTATCCAATTTATCTTATTAATTATTCTTAAGAGATGTTTAGTATTTGTTTCTGGGTCTAAAGCATAACAGTGATATTAGTGACGAACCAATTCGCACACGGTGTAATGAGAAAAAGGAGAAATAAGCAAAACCACTTATGGTTTGTCTAAAATAAGAACTCCCCCAGACATTCACTTGGGCCTGTGACGGTGACTATGGGAACCAGGGCTAAAGAGAATAGAAGGGCTAGTTCACTCCGCTCTTAGAGCTGAAGCTGCGATTTCCCTCCTCATGACGTCACTGTGTCCACAGATCTCGGAAATCGCAAGCAAAGATATGATAACTTTGCATCTTTCTCTTTGTAAAAATAAGTTAGACTTTTTCTGGTTATTAGCCTTCAAACTTTACGTAATTAACACATTATTTCCGTTCATAAACATAGTTCAAAAAAAACTTTCTTGGTTATTATATTAAAAAAATACCATTTTAAACTTATAAAAATGTTTTGCTAGTTGGTGAAAATGACACGATAAATACTTTATTTTAAAAAGTTCAGTTTTAACTTTAACTATTAAGAAAAATGAAGGCATATATCGACACTTTTTTTATCTACATATTCTTTTATAAAGATAAGTTAAGTTAAATTTAGAATCCCTGATTTTAAAATATGTCGTTAATAGCAATTTGTTCATACTTAATCATTAGGAAACATCAACCTTAAACGCTAATTACTGAAACAAAATAATAATTTAGGTTCATAATGACATTAGAAATTTTACAATTGTTTATAGACATTTAAATTTACGATGATATAATTTATAGATATTTAAATTGAAGAGAATATAATTTTTAAAAAAAATCATAAATATTTAGAATAACTACATTAAAAAATATGTTATGAAATTAGGAGAATTTCAACTATATACTATATATTTTATTTATACTTTTTACTTACATTTTAATTTTCTTTGACTTTATCTATTTTTTAATTCTTTTCACCTGCCTTTCTTTATGAAGTAACGAGGCGGTTTCTATTTAGATAATGAATTTTTATAAAAGTTCTTTACGACAGAATAAACGTATTGCTGTTTTATATTAACTGTGTCATTTCGGAATCCATTCTTTACATAGTTGTTCATTTACTTTAGGGAACACGCGAAAAATTATACTTTTTCCTTTTGTTTTTGTATCAGAATTTTTGCAAGTTGCAATCGCGCAAACTGGCATTTCGATAATAGTTTTAAATTCTTGTAAATTCACTGCAAAAACTGAGGAAAGTCATTATAGAAAATAACAAATGTCTTAGAATATCTCGCAAAAAGAAATGATCCAATATTAGTTAGAGCTAGTAAGGCCAAACGCTCCGTTCTTGAAGTAAAAGTGCGAGCTTTGCGCCAAAGTGACGTCACTAGAGTGACGTCGGAGGATCGTGGCGGCGAGAGATACTTCAAAGGAGTGAACCAGCCCTTCTATTCTC